TGGTCGGCTGAGAAGGTGACTATCCCTGCTGGAAGTGCAAAATTAGTCAAGGTGAGAACAGAAGGTAACTGGAAGGGCGCTGGAGTGGTAGAGTCATTGCCTTTAGAGGATCAAGTGAAGGGGAGAAAAGTTCTACTTCTGGAAAATGCCTATGACCTGTCAGGAAGTATACAAACAGTTGTTAACACAAATTCAAAATATAAGGAAGACAATTTTACCGACTCAAATGCTGTAGCCTATTCCCAAGACATGTTTATCTATTTCCTCCATGAAGCACCCACATGTCAAACCCCGCTCATTTGTTTCCCCCTCACCCCTCTACACATCCCAGCCCTCAGTCAAGTTAGGAGAGTTGAGCTAGTAACAGCTCTGACACAGGGAGCCTCTTGACTCCTTTATGATGATGACGCAGATACTCAGCTAGCAGCAGACGTGCTTACCCGAAGGGTTCCCAGTTTATCATGCATTCCAGAGACAACATAATTGCTCAATCGCATCATGAAAAACCCGCAGATGCCTACTAAGTTGGATAAGCCCTGTTGTTCCAGTTCCTGTTGATCTGCTCCACCAACATGAAGCTCTACATCACTTCCATGAAATACCCTCAAATATTCATCACTATTTCCTTTGTTAATTTCTAAATCAACCAATTTTAACCATTCGTCTTATATGCAAATATTTCTAACCTTTCGTTTTAAATAAATGTTAGAAATATCCATTTTAGATCTCTTTATTTTACTATAGTGACTTTTATAGTCAACAGCAGTGTATGTGGAAAACCATGCAGATGAGTGTGTAGAGTTGGGTGTGGGACAGAAGCTCGACACAATACACAGTATGTGCATAGACAAACAAGCCTGGATTAAGGAGGAACTAAGGGGAAGTACGGTACCTGATTTAGATGAAGAGGAAGTGTGCACTTCTCAGGAATCGGTTAATTCTCTGCAAGAGTTGGATTTTCCAACAGAAGAGAGTAGAAGGAAGTTTATCAAGGATAGTTTCAAGATGGATGAGAACAAAATTTTGAATAGAGATGCAAAGCTGAAAGAGGAAGTAATCAAACTTTTCTTGGAGAACTTTTCTACGTTAGCCCTTCACCCTAATCATTATGGTAAAACAGATTTATTGGAGCTGCAGATAGAATTACAACCAGGGGCAGTGCATAAGAGATCTAAGGTGAGGAAATTGAACCCTGATCAGCGCGCAAATTTGAAAGAACAATTGGATGAGTGGATCCAACAGGGAACCTGCAAATGGTCCCTGGGCATCGCCACTAGTTCCTGTAAATAAAAAGGATGGGAGAACAAGATGGGAGACTGACCTGAGGCAGCTTAATGACGTCACAATCAAGGATGCTTATCCCCTGACGAATATCCAGGAAAATCCAAAAGTTGAAGGGTGCAAAAATGTTCACTTCAATTGATGCCTGCGGGGCATATCTCACCATACAGATAGAAGAGGGGAGCAGGGATTGTACAGCTTTTATCTGTCCTTTCAGCACATTTCGTTATATAAGGATGCCTTTTGGCCTGTCAAACGCCAGAAGTGTCTACAGCGGGATGTTGGACCTGGCCCTGGCGCACTTACCTGTGGAGTACTGGTTATAATATTTAGACGACATCCTGGTGTACTCCATGGACACCTGGGACCACTTGAAGCATCTGAAGAGTATCGTGGAGGCTCATACGAAGGCAGGGATCAAGATTCAACCTAAGAAGACCAAGATATTTCAGACAGAAACCGAATATTTAGGACATAAAGTCAGGGCAGAGATGTTGGATCAATATGTGAAAGATATACAGAGCTGGCCATGTCCCACCAGTTGCAAGGAAATGTCGTCATTCCTGAGTTTCACAGGTTATTACAGAGGCTTTATTCCCAGGTACTCAGCTTTGACCAACAGGATGAATAGTCTTAAGAAGGAGGAGAAATTTGTATGGACTGAAGATATGGAGAAGGATTTCCTGGAGTTGAAGGCGGAGTTTTCAGCAGGGCGGATACAAGCTTATCCAGATTTTGATTCAGATGAACCTGTCATCCTTACTACGGACTGGTTGTCTTTAAACATTGCAGGAGTTTTGTCTCAGAAACAAGAGGGAGTAGAACGTTTTCTGGGTTGTTGGGGGCGGAAGTGTAATCGTTATGAGAGACACTACTCCAGCGCCAAGGGGGAGTNGCTGCTAGTTTGAAGTATATCGTGAACTTGAAATCAGAAGAAACTATCTTTCAACACTGGTACGCGGAACTGGCTCAGTTTGAGTTCATCATGATACATAAGAAAGGAAGTGAGAACGTTAATGCAGATGCTTTGTCCAGAGCCAAACATTTAGATGAGCCAACAACAGAAGAAAACGAAGAATGCCAAGAAGCCATCGAAGTGGGAGAGATGAAGATAACCTTTGCATCGGAACTAGAAGGAAACCCTGTGGAAATAGGAAAAGGGAGGTGGAAGTTTGCCGGATATCCGTCTGCTATTCACAACCTGAGTAACGAGACAAGATTCAAGATATTAGAGGGAAACAAACTGAAGAAGTTACAAGAAGAGGATGAAGTTTGGAAGGAAGTGATTAAGTGGATCGTAAATGGAAAAGTACCCAAGATGCAGGAAGTGAGGGGAGGAATACAGGAAGTGATATCAGTGAGGCAGATATTCAATCCTACCCTGTTTGTGATGCATAATGGAATCCTATGTTATAACCTTCACACAGATCCAGTCAAGCCATATGATGCCTTACATGTTTGTGTACCAGCAGTGAAGTTAGAGGAAGTGTTCAAGATTTGTCATGAGGGCGTGGCTTGGGGACATAGAGGCGTGGCAGGAATGTTAGACAAGTTTCTGAGAACATTCTTTGCAATGTCTGCCCGTTAGAAAATCCGTAGACTGGTGGATCAATGTAAGACCTGCCTACCTAAGGAAAGGAGTATTCAAGCCAAGAGAGGGCCTCACGTGCCTAGCACAGTGGGCAATGTAGGGGAGAAAGTATTTATAGACCTAGTGTCGATGTCAGAAACAGTGAAAAAGAATCGTTATATGTTAACGGTACAGGATGGATTTACAAGATTTGCTAGTGCATATCCTATTTGCAACAAGGAAGCGGGCACTGTGGCTAGAGTTTTGATACGTGAACATTTCAGTGTTTTTGGATTGCCTAACCAAATTCAGAATTTGTCAACAAGTTATGGATTGAACTATTTAGTGAATTAAAGATTTTGCATACAAGAACCCCCCCTTATAACCCCTCATCTAATATCGTGGAAAGATGGCATAGAACAATAGTGAGTATCCTGAGGACTTTGGGCAGGGAGATGCAAAATGAATGGGACCTAGGTGCAAAAGCGGCTTGTCTGGCCTATAACACTACGGTGCATAGTAGTACCCCACCAAACCATATTACGTTTCTTACAAAATTTCGTTTTCTGTTTCGTTTCTGTTTCGATTCTGTAACGTTACAATGAAACGTAACGTTATATAACGTTTTAGAACTGTATTTGAAACGTTTCTGAATACCAATCCAAATTGTATTTTAATGAACAATTGTATTTGTCAATTATAAATTTCTTATGTAATTCCTATATGTTAATTAATTCATGCGTCAAAATGTGTAAATTCTAATCTTTTTAAAAAGTTTTTAAACTTCGTTTCTGAATTGTAAAGTTACGTAATGGATTTAAAAAAAAGAAATTTGAATAATACAGCTGATTTTATATCTATATAGATAGATAGATAGATAGATAGATAGATAGTTAACAATAGTTAACATCTTGATTATCTCACCCCCCCCCCCCTCGTTGCTGTCCGTACTCTGTATAGATACCTGTTTTCACACTCATATATAGATAGGTAGATAGATAGATTTACTGGGTTTCTTTCACTGGTCAGTTTTCGGCAAGGGCATGGGCGGCGCGGCCCGCCATAGTGATAGGACAGGTTCTGGGATCGGCACGCGCAGCTCTTAAGTAGTTTGGCTAGGGCGCGGCCCGCCATGTGACCACAACCAGTCAGACTCCGTTCAGTAGTCAGTCACCTAGGGTCCAGTAACTCGGTTATTATTCACATAGCAGCTTCAATCATGCAACTATATCTCAGATATTCAATCACATTCAGACAGGGGAAGAAGAACAAGATTAAAAGCAAAGTCATTTGTTTGCTAAGCTGGTAGATCGAACAAAAGTCATATCTAATAATTAAGCAAGCAAATCAACATTATAAGCTGGATGCAGGAATTACAGAAGTAATTAGCCAAATATCACTGAATTTAAATGATGTTAGAATATGTTTAGTATTAGTATTTAGGGATATTTTATATTTACTTTTTATATAATTATCCTTTTCCTCAATAACTGTGAATATTATCTTTTATACATCATTAAAAAATAGGACTTTAATCTGTTTGGTAAAGTTCAGACTTTATCCAGTTTGTTTAGTTCAGACTTTATTCAGATTGTTTAGTTCAGACTTTAATCTGTTTGTTTAGTTCAGACTTTAATCAGAGCTGAAAACTTTAGAATGAGATTTCCTTAAACCCGTTATCTTAAACTGTGTATCCAATGGACAAACTTTTGATTTTCTTCTTAAACCGCTCTTTTGAATATCCGCATCCCGGATTACGAGAATTATGACAAATGAGGTTGCGTTAAAATCAATTATTATCCTATTATTAAATTATTGATCTGAAATATAAGCACTTGTAATAAAATATTTAAGGTTTACTAACAAATAAATTTAATAAAATGTAATTATAAATAAAAATACAGAAAAATTAAATGGCGTCTGATCTCTATTCTCTGCTCTATCATTGGTGGACTGCAACCATTCCCCGGCATCTGATTGGCTGTTTTCCCGGCATCTGATTGGCTGTTTCATTTTAGGCTTTGGGAGATTTTCAAACTTCTCTCTGGATATTGGATACGTATTAAACTAATCATAGGTTTAATAAAACCAGGGGTTTAAGCGTTAAACTTGATATCCACCATTCTAAAGTTTTCAGCTCTGNAAATATTAGATTAGATAGTACATATACAACAGATTCTATACTTATTCAGGTAACAAATATTAGATTAGATAGTACATATACAACAGATTCTATAAATATTTAGGTAACAAATATTTTTTTATCTTCCGAGGCCGATGTTCCAGGCACTCCTAACTAGCTGAAGGAGAAGGTCAACTTCAATTAGGATTATTGTAACGACTTTGGGACCTCGTTGCTTCTCTAGCTCTGATTTTACGAACAAGTATAGAGAAAAGAATATTTTGAACTGTAAATGCTTTTGTTCCTCTCAAGAGCTCTTGACTATAAGGAGTTATGATGATTAATATATAAGGTTTCAATCTTATTATCTTACTTTGACGTGCGCGAAGGGACTCCGTTTATATTTCTATCTATATACATGTAATATATATAAAGTAGTGATCTCTGTTTGTTTGTTTATATTTTCTATCCTACTGCCTGAACACCTTATTATTCCAATACCAGACTAAATTATATTTGGACTTACATCAAGTTAAGTCATCGTAACATTTGACTTTCTTTGCTCTTTGGAGACTGGGGAGTTTATTGCACAAGTTTTGCCACATTTTTTTAACAGAAATGTCTTTTTAAGTGAATTAGAACCAATTAGAACATGTTCAGTGTTCTTGAATACACACTTCATGGGTTTAAGTCAAGATTAGGCTCAACTAAAGGAAAAATTTGTCAACATATCTCATTACTTGACCCTTAATGTTTTGGCATTTGCCATTTTATGTTGCGCGTGCATGCCCCGTAAAATTCCAAAACAAAGAGAGGGGGATTGAATTTTGTAGATCCAGAAAAATAATATCTGTGGGATGCCTGCGTAGAGACTGGCAGCTGGTGGGGTCTTAAATGCAAGACATGTGGCCGCAGCACTCGGCCTCTTAGCCTGTCCTAGCCGCAGCGCTCGGCCCCTTAGCCTCTCCTAGCTGCAGCGCTCGGCCCAGAAAGTGTCATAACTTAACCTGGCCCGTGGCCACAGCGCTCGGCCCCCTAGCCTTTCCTAGCCTCAGGGCTCGGCCCAGAAAGTGTCTTAACCTAACCTAACCCTAAATAAATACTAATTTCTGGGTCTACAAAATTCAATCCCCCTCTCTCTGTTTTGGAATTTTAATGGGCATGTGCGCGCAACATAGTATGGCAACTTAGTCTTAAGTTCAGCGTAGTCGGGAGACTGAGTTTTCCCGTATTATTCAAATTTTCATGGCTCTTATAAAATATGTCCACAGTTTTTTTCCTAATATACCATGTTATTAATGGATCGGATTTATTTCCTTTTCTCTATTTTTTATATTTCTTTTTCCTGGTGAAAAGTTTATATTACTTCTGTGCTTATTTAAAAGTACATCTTGATAGATAGATAGATTAGCTTGCAAGCTGAGTCCTAATGTATTTATAAGTTTACTGATAAATTGCTGTGAAAAGCTAAATAAAAAAATAATATTATAATCAGCTGTATTTACTGATTATAATCAGCTGTATTTACTGATTATAATCAGCTGTATTTACTGATTACAGCTTTTTTGATTAGTTAATTATTTTGTTCTTTAAATAAACTATAATGTGACTGCAATTCTTAAGTAAAGCATTGATTTATTGATTGTTTGATAAACTGATACGTAATTATATGCAGGGATCTACCTACACCTCTACTCCCCTCTCTATACAATGTAGAAGACTACCTGAACCCCCTCCTTACCCTGGCCAGCAGCTCCAGCAACCAGCACATGGCAATAATCAGTATACGCATTCTTATGAAGTACCTAGACCTATAGGTAATCATTTCTGTGTTGAGGCGTTTCCGTGCTGAGGCGTTTCCATGTCACCGGTAATCAGCTCAGATTAAAATTCGATGTCTTTAATATAGGGTTACCCATAAAAAATAAGACTTGACAGACGACTGTACGGAATTTATATAAACCTTAAATTAATGATTCCCTACAACTGTAAACTTCTTTTTCTCTTTTCCAAATAACATTTAGCCATTAAAAGACTATATTAAAGGCAGAAGACCTTGGGATCGTCATTTCTTAAGAATTTCAGTTCGTCTTTCCAGTCTCAACCTGTATTAGACCATATTTCCAGTCTCAACCTGTATGTAGACCATTTTTCCAGTCTCAACCTGTATGTAGACCATATTTCCAGTCTCAACCTTTATGTAGACCATATTTCCAGTCTCAACCTGTATTAGACCATATTTCCAGTCTCAACCTGTATTAGACCATATTTCCAGTTTCAACCTGTATGTAGACCATATTTCCAGTCTCAACCTGTATTAGACCATATTTCCAGTCTCAACCTGTATTAGACCATATTTCCAGTCTCAACCTGTATTAGACAATATTTCCAGTCTCAACCTGTATTAGACCATATTTCCAGTCTCAACCTGTATTAGACAATATTTCCAGTCTCAACCTGTATGTAGACCATATTTCCAGTCTCAACCTGTATTAGACCATATTTCCAGTCTCAACCTGTATGTAGACAATATTTCAAGTAACCCGACATTTATAGAGGGATATATCCAAAGAGAATACAATATATATTAGAGTGGAATTTACTAGAAAAAAAGTGTAAAACGGCCATTTTGTTGTACTGTTTCCATACTGCAGGTGTAATTCACACATTTGCGCTATATAACCTTTTGGGCCCTGGAACATAATTTTATAGAAAATCTATAATTAATATTAAAAGAAAACCAAATTATGGAAAAAGCTGGATTCATAATTGACCAATGATCATTTCACATAGACTCTATGCCTGTCACTTTTCAAACGATGATTTTTTATTCACCTAATTCATTATAAGGTTTATTTAACAGCTTTAAAAAATTTGAGTTTGAAATGGATAGTCTAGGGAACATACTGTATTAATGTACTCTACTGCAAATAATTTGTGAACATTTTCATGATTTGTACACTTTGAACTCCCGGGATTTCAGGCTGAAAGGGACTGACAGAATTCATACCGAAGGATTGTCTAAATTCCACTCTAATATATATTCTATTCTCTTTGAATATATCTGTATAACTGTGTCTGATAAATCTTTGTCTGAGTAAAAAAGATATCGTCGTTTTTTAGTTTGGAAAATAATAAATTCTTGCTTTCTTGATCAGTATGTCACTTTCTAAATGGAGGCTAAATTACGTTTTATGTCACTTTTATTTAAAATTCGGTGATGGTGTAGGATCAAGCCTCTGTATACAAAAGTAGTTTTAAGTTCCATATTTAATTGTCAATGACCTTACAGAGATTGTCCATTTAAAGAAAACGCTATTCTAATTTTGTTGATTATTTTAATTGTGGACTGTTAAGGGTATCTGGACATGAGCTTAGGATCCAGAAAAAGTTCAAACTCTAGGTACTTTTTTCAGTTTATTGGAATAATCAAACATTTTTATTAAGTTACTAAACATGTTTATTGTTTATTTGTTAATTTTTATCAACTTGGATCACTTTTTAGTTTATTAGTTAATGTATTGCTTTATTTTTCATTTTTTTTGTTACTCTTTCATATTTTGGGCTACTTTTTATTTTTTGGCTACTTTTTCATTTTTTGGCTACTTTTTTATTTTTCTGGGTTACTCTTTCATTTTATGGGTTACTCTTTTATTTTTTTGGTTACTCTTTCATATTTTGGGTTACTTTTTATTTTTTTGGGTTACTTTTTTATTTTTTTGGGTTACTCTTTCATTTTTTGGGTTACTCTTTCATTTTTTGGGTTACTCTTTCATTTTTTGGGTAACTTTTCAGGTTTTATTAATTTTTTTCTACAGTTTTTTACATAATCTTGTCAAAAATGGTTCTAAAGAATGGTAAAAAAGGAGGAAAGAATTAAGGAAAATATTAAATATTAAGTTCTCTAGATACGGATTTGAGGGGGATGAGAACAAAGAAGAGGAGGAAGGGGAGGAGGAGGGGGAGGATATGGAAGGGGAGGAGGAGGGGGAGGATATGGAAGGATATCTTAAACCTACTTTTCCACAAATAGAAAGAAAATCTCCAAGGTAAAGGTTCTTATACCTCATTGTTAATTTATAACTTGCATAACATTGGAATACCCTGTACACTGAGTGTACACGGCCTGCCTATAGGTATGATTTTATCTAACTATCTAGTGTTCTGGGCTACCGTACATTTCCAAGATATGAAATATTACGGACGGGCTTCGCACCCCTTACAAACTTTACAAATATCAAAGACAATTTGTAAGCCTAGGATCTAGTGTCTAATATACTACATTACATCCCACCGAGAAAATTATATCAAAACTTGTCTAAGATATATTCAAAGTATCTCCTTAAAGGGACTTGAAGTGTCATGTTTGCAGAGATGGCAATGCCCGACTTACAAAGATACCCTTAAAACCTTAATCTGATTAAAAATATGGAAAATAAAGTCGTTTTCCTGACTTGAAAAGTGCTTATTTCTGAATGTGTCTCCGTTGCTTCTTCTTATAAGCAAGAACTGCGCAAGTCACTTTCACAGAAGAACAGGAAATGAAAATAAATAGGTTTAATGAACAAAAACATGAATAACTAATTCATTCTTGATTAGACTAAGCTCTTAAGGGAATGACCGGCTGTGTAAAGTATTTAAACTGAGTATGCAGTGTTGTGGACAAATTCTTTAGGATTCATTTGAAACATATAAAACTTTTTAAAAATCTTTAAATCCTGAGTTTGAGCGTAAAGTCGACGTTTAAAAACGTGCTTTTGGGTGGATACGTTTTCAGAATTGTTTTTTTTAATTATTAGATAACTACGACAAAAAATATAAACAAAATTGTACAGTAAACTAATTAGTTGTTTAAGAACAGGATGAGAAAATAAAAAAATTAACTCTTATCATTGAAAGTAAGTAATCTTATTCCATTATTAGTTTCTATAATCTCTCTTTAATCACAAAGATTTTCTGCAGATTTTCTGGAATTTTATTAAAAAAGACGACATTTGAAGAATTTGAAGAAATCTGCGAACAAATTCATAAAAAGTAAGAAATTTAATATAGTGATGAAAAAGAAAATAATTAATTCTAACTTCGGTTTATTGACAAATTTCTTTTGAGAAATATGTTCCTAAACATCTAATTAGTTTATTATAGAATTTTTACTATATTTTTTGTTGTCGTTATTTAGTAATTAAAAAAAACCGATTCTGAAAACGTACCCACCCAAATTCATGATTTTGAACGTCGACTTTGCGCTCAAACTCAGTAATATACAATATACATCTTTGAAACGTTTTATATGTCTCAAATGAATCCTATAGAATTTGTCCACAACACTGCATACTCAGTTTAACTACCTTACATAGCCGGTCTGTCCCGGCCTTTAAAGGGTACAGTTGTAAATCTAGAATTGCCATCTTTACATGGAGGGTCACTTGAAATTATGCTTACTGTCCCTTTAAATATAGTTATAGAAACTATCCAATTTTGAAAATGGATAGTCATTCATTTTTAAACACAATTTCAGTTTACTTTGAAGTTTTACCTAAGAATTAGGAGATTGAAAAGTAATTTCAATTGTCATCGAAGCATCCTAATTGAAACATTTAAGTATATAATCTATACAATATCTGAACACTGTACAAATATGACGAGAAGATTAAAAAAATATAACACTGGTAAATAATCCTTTAATTACTTCTTAAATATTTTCTATTTGATCCTTAAACATTTTTTTATCTCTATTAGTAAACTTTAATAAATATTTTTCAGAATTTAAACAATTTTGAAGGCACGGGCAGCCGTAGTATATTTGAATTTCCGAGTCGGGTCAACCTTTTGTACTGTACCTTATACTCTATGGACAGGACTAGCCTGTGCAACAAGGTTGCCGCGGTCAGGCTTTATGCTTCATATAGGTTGAATTTACTTTTACCAAAGGGGCAGAAGGCGACAAGTGGAACAAAATATCTGTACTTAGCTTTTAAGGGGCTTTAAAGTGTTGCTAATCAAGTTCCCATTCCCAATGGCCTTTTGAGTTGTCGTAAAAAAGGTGGGCCTGATCGGTTCAGCCGTCTTAACTTTTATTGGATCTAAACAAACAAACAAACAAACAAACGGACAAACAATGTATGTATTGGTGTAAAATGTAGATAGATGTGGGCACAGTGCACACTGCAGTTACATTAATTAATAATAGTGTACCCCAAAAATGATTTGCATAGTGCAGACAAGTCCAGGGTGACCCAAAACAAACAGAATTAGTTTATTAAGCCCAAATATTTTTTTTTAAAGACTGGAAAAAGTGCTTTAGTATAAAGATATTTTTATTTTTGATGGGGTCGTTTAAGTAACGTTTTGTCGCCGATGCTTCAGTTTACGTAAATCTATGTCCAATATTCGAAAATATCTCTGTTTACTTTAAACAATTAATAACGTGTATTATTTTTTTCAAATCTATTTTGCAGAGAAAAATAAATTTAGGTTTCAGAAAGCCCCAGAAGAAAAAACTAAGGGTATTAAAATATATGTAAAGGGTGGTCGGCAAAAATCCCGTCTTTTTAGTTTTTTGGCCTCCATCAAAAAGCATAAATTAAAAGCGCTACTTTCTTAAGATAAGATAAGATAAGATAAGATATAATTTATTGCTAAAAATACACATCCAAGTTATAATGTTACAGGCAAAAAATCTGCAACTATTTTCATATTGTTTACTATATTTATGTAATTCTAGCAATTAGGTGGAGATTAGCTATTTGCTGTTTTGGGTATTATACCCACCTAATTAATATTAAATCTTTTACAATATGATGAATATTACTAGGTTTTGAAAGTTTACAATAAGTCAGGGATTACTAGTTAATATCCCAGCTACCAGCAAATCCATAGAATTTGTAGGATCACAATAGTACTCTCAGCTATAGATAGATCAACCGATTCATCAAACATTTTCACAAGAATTTTTCATATATTCTTAAAAATTGACTTGACGCAGGCTAAAAGACCAGCCCGTACATCATTTGATACTATTTATGAACACAATTTGATTTTAGTTGAAATGCCATGTTTTATTGCAAGCAGTTGAGAGATCTTTAAAACACTCTTAACTCTTTTATAAAGTTTAAATATTTTTTTGTTGTTTATTTTTTACATTTTGGAATGTTTAAGTGATAATAAATGATGCAGCTGTACCATAAGAGTAACTTTTTAAAGGATCTCTTCTGTTTGTTTAAGTATTTTCTCTGTCCCCTGGGATGTTTTTTTCTTATTCCATGTTGTATAATCATAAGTTCATTAAATTTTATTGTTCTCTGCTAAAAATAATTTGTGCAAAGTTTTTAAAAGGTTCTGATGAGAATTTGAACACTTAAACCGAATTATTCTATTAATAAGATTCATTTTGAATTACCAATAGTCTGATTATCGAAAATTAAAGAGACTTTTTTTGGCGACCGCCCTTTATATGAATATTTTAGCTCAAGTAAATAGAGATTTTTGAATATTCGACATATTTTTTAGTTAAAGTTACTTAACCAACCTCTTCTAAAATTAAAAACTGAAAATTAAATAAAAATAAAAAAGTACTTTTTTGAGTCATTTTAAAGAATATTAGGACTGAAAATCCCTAGCCCCGTTTTTTTCGTTCAAATAACGGTCTTATACCGTATACCGACTATGACATCAGTATCCAGTTGATCCAGTCCAGTGTAGTGGAGTAAATCTACCAGAATTCAAAGCAATAATGCTTTAAGTAGGGTACGGAATGGTGATTGAAAACAGCAAACTTGTTTAGACAGTTACATTTAAGGATTTCAAAAACTTATTTCCTGTCAAGTTTCAATAGAGGTCGTCAGAAAAATCCTTTTTTTTAGATTTTAAGCTGAATAGCAATTGATCTTTGTTTGATGTGATGTAGCCAACCCTTAAATTTGATTTCAATATTTAAGTTTTATGTTCCCTGAGTTGCGGAGTTCAAGTATCCAGGTGGAGAGTTATGGAACCTCATCTCCAGGTGCACCTAGATCACAGGGACAGATATCCAGTAGACCAGATCTTATACCTCCAGGTAAATAAATATATAAGATAAAGATCAAATTACTTTCCTTTTTTTAAGCTATTTACAAAACAATTTACTACAGTTTTAGGCGATTGTATCAATACAATGAGAGGAATTTTTTAAAAAGTTTTAATTGTTTGCAAGCTTTTTTCTAATTACAAGTTTAAAAGTAAATAAAATAATCTAAGAAAAGCTTTTTTTAATCGAAAAGTTCAAATGTTCAAAAATGTTGAGGGATTTTTCATATTGTATAATGGATATTTTTACCATTTCGTATATAAAAAGTACTCGTAAATTTGTAAGCAAAACAAATATGTTTATTTTTGTTGAATTGGTATAATACATGTCATTATCATATTTTCCCGAAATGGTTTTTTAGATAACAACCTTTCTTTTTTTAGATAGAACAAGTCCCTCTAGTCTGACAAGTTCAAATTCTAATCAACCTCTAGTTATATCTAAATCAGTGGACATCTAGACTACAATATTATCTAGTGTATACATCTAGACTACAATATTATCTAGTGTATACATTTAGACTACAATATTAACTAGTGTGTACCTCTAGACTACAATATTATCTAGCGTATACATCTAGACTACAATATTATCTAGTTTATACCTCTAGACTATAAAATTATCTAGTGTATACCTCTAGACTACAATATTATCTAATGTACACATCTAGACTACACTATTATCTAGTGTATATCTCTAGACTACAATATTATCTAGTGTATACTATTGGACTACAATACTATCTAGTGTATACCTCTAGACTACAATATTATCTAATGTATACTACTGGACTACAGGAGTTTATGGACTACAATAAACCCATTAATGAAATAAGCATAAAGTCTCCAAGTATTTAAAAGTGCTCATGTCAATCAAAAGTGCCATCATACACTAAGTGTAAATAAAATGTTAGTTGATAATCTGAAGATTTAGACCTTAAGCTTATTTTTTCAAGTTTCAAAGATCTTAGTGAATACTAGCTGCTGAAGTGCCCGGGGTGGAATCTTCCAAAAAGTGTTTAAAAAATTAAAGAAAAAATATTTCAATTTGTTTTGGCCAATGCTACCCCCCCCCCCCAGGGCACCCATGGTTTCCTCAATAAATTCAGCCAATTATCAGCCATGTATAAGTGAAAAGCTTTATTTTATGGATTGCTTCTCATACTATTATTTAATTAGTTCTAAAGCATATTTTGAGGAGATTTAAAATATTTAAATTTACATAATGATTGATTATAGGGTAACCTAGATTCCGGCCTAACAGTGTAGCTTCCAATTACAACTACATTTACAAATATATTTACAACTATATTTACAAATACATTTACAAATACATTAACAACTACATTTACAACTAAATTTACAACTACATTTACAACTATATTTACAAATACATTTACAACTACATTTACAACTACATTTACAAATACATTTACAACTACATTTACAAATACATTTACAACTGAATTTACAACTACATTTACAACTACATTTACAAGTTACAATAACAATATTTTCACAGAAAAGAATTCTAAAGTTTATTTTATCTAAATAAACCCCTTCATTCAATCATTTTTATAATGCACTGGAGCAATACAAGCAAACCTAAATAATTTCAGTTTTTAAAGGGGAAAATATCATTTCAAGGGACGATAATAATTGCAGCATCCCCCCCCCCCCCCACCTCTATATACTTGATACTGTTATTAAATAAATGTTTTTACTAAAGATCTTAACTTCTAAAAGATCATAAATAAAAAATGTTCAGAATCTTGTTGAATTAACTAAAAAAACAGTTATTAAATTACATTAGTCATTCCATGTCATAGTTGCATAAAAATATAGTTAACAGCATACATCCTAAATAATTTTATATATTTGAAATTTGAAATTTTATTCTTGTAAAGTGTGAACCAGAAAACTCGGGATCAGGACGCTGACTTTCAGACACAAGGTCTTCATGACTTTAAAAAGTCCAATGAATAAATGATTTAACAAGTTACAAGTAAAACTATTGCAACAACATGAAATACACAGTTCACTTAATTATTATTTCATGTTGCCTTTCTATTCCATAGTTTTCTGGTTCTCACTGTAGAGGTTATTGTCTCAGAATAAAATGAGAAATAAAACTGTAACTGTATAATCTAATAAATATGGATTACATTGTTTTGTTATGTGGTATTGATTTACTGGACAATTATACTATCTATACTCTAGAATATATTTTGATGGTATAATTTTTTATAAAAATAGATTTATAGTCATCCATAATTATGTACAATTAAAGAGACAAATTCGGTTAGATTTATCTTTTAACTGTTGCTTTAAAAGTTGCCGTTTTAAATCTTTCTTAAATTTAAATTGACGCCTTTAAAAAAATAATAATTATTGAATTAGATTTATTCAAGGCAAATCATTTTAATCTTTGATGGACCATAATAATAATAATAGTAGCCATTAAAACAAATTGAGTTGAGGGTTATTGTACGGCACTTTTGTGTACTGAAGTGTACTAAGCACAGAGTACCGTAATGAAACCCAGTATCGGAAACTGGTTTTTTAGATACAAATATTTTTGTTTGAAAATATTATTTTATGTGGTTTACAGTTTCTTATTTGTTTTCTGATCTACGCAAATGTGAACACACCAAAAATGAAAATCGGTAGTTTTGCTCAATGAAACTATCTTAAATTTTCGGCAAATGGTTGAGACCAGAAAAGTATTTTCGATAACCCATCCGTCTCCTTCCCTCCCTTAGGGGTGTATTTTTTCTTGAAAAATCATTTTCCCTTAAAAAAATTATCCTTTTTCCCCAGAGCGTTGAGCGTCAAATTTATTAAGGGTTTTATTCGTTGAATTGGAGAAAATGATTTCGGAAGAAAAATTAACTTTGGGTATAAAGTACAGTGGTAGGCGATTTTATCAATATAATGAAGACGACTTTCGATTTCGATTTTTATTTATATAAATTTTTAAATAGCATGGATACACAAAAACATCAAAACAGAGAAGCCTTTCATTGAAAAAGCTTTTCTTCAATTGCGTGTAAACTTATAATTCGAAAAATGCTTGTTAACCATTTGAAACTGAAATAAAAAAGTCGTCTTCATTATATGGCTTTAATCGCCTACCACCGTATATAAAAGAATGAAAGTCAATGTCCCATTTATTTATTTTTTCTCCAATCGTCAAAAATTCTGAAAATATGCACCTCCCTCCCTCCCTTTCCTCCTTCCCCCCCTCTCCTCCTTCTCCTCCTTCTCCTCCCTCTCCTCCCTCCCTCCTTCCTCTCCTCCCTTCCTCCTCCCTCTCCTCCCTCCCCCCTCCCACAGCCTGAATTGACTAGACCCATTGCATAAAGATGGAGTGAACAACTTGTTCAACCCACATATTTTTCTTCCAAATTAATTACAGGAAGTAGAGGCCTGCACACACCTTTCAAAACAATACAACCGGAAATAATTTATATTATGTAATATTAAGAAAACGTCAAGATATTATAAATATGGGTTTATAACGTTTTATGCAAGGATAAGAATTCAGAGACGATCGTACTGAATAATTGTTTACCAAATCTATAAGATACCTGGCAGCTGTAAAGTTGTAAAAAATCTTCACTTTTCAGATTGTTATATTCAAAGTGTTTCAGGTCATTAAAGTCTTATCCTTTGCAGGAAACTCTGTACTTTCATTAATGAACAAGCTAACGTGGCGCTGACGGGGCCAGCTAAATTTTTAAAATGCTTCCAATTCGGCCCAAGTAGAATTTTCAAGGCTATATAGCGTAAATAAAGTTAACCATTCTTAAAAATGTAAGTTTTAGTCCATGCTATAAGATGAAAGAGAGAGTCAGACAGTTGGACAACTATTGTACTGATAATATTTTATTGAAAGGAACTAAAACTAAAACCCTATGGTTTTTAGTTTTTTGTCCACATATGAATAAGAAAGGAAAACAAAAATTCTGTTCATTATAAACAAGGAAGAGAATTCCATATCAGAAATCATTGGTTTTATCCACATAATAACCATAATAATATGTTCTACCTGAATAGGCTGAGCAGGCCTATAGTGTCCTGGCACGCTATGAATGATACAGTTACATGGAAGGCTTTTTGACTACCATCTAACGGCCACTTATTGCATATTATGCCCGTTCAGTGGTTAAGTTTTACACCTATTAAAGAAATACTTAAATTTTTAACATGAAGCATAAAATTTATGAATTTAGTCTATTTTTGAAGATTTTGTATTTCGTGTCCAAAGGATCCTTAATATCCCTCAATACAGATGTCTGCTGATTGTTTGTGTACAGTACTTGTACACAATAGAAAATGCTGTGGAAAATATCGTACAGGGTGTCCCACGAAACATGACAGTATGCAGGACGACTTGAATGTCGTCTTGATTTTTGATATAATTTGCTGCGTTTATTTGTCAACCTAATTTTAGAAGTAAATTTCTAGAGATAATAATCACAAAATTTCCCTTGTCCTGCCATTTCCAAAATGTGGTCTGCCTTTTTTGTGCTTTCAATATTGCCCGAGATATGAAGAATTTCGTTCAGATTTCGACAATTTTGCTTTTATTTAACAAAATTGAAATCTGAACCAAACTCTTTATATCTCAGGTAATATAGAAAGCACACAAAACGCAGACCACTTTTTGGAAATGCCAGGGCTAGGAGAATTATGTGATAATTGTTTCAAGAATCATACATGTTAAAGTAGATAGAAGACTAAATGTCACAAATAAATTCAAATACCAAAGACGACTTTCAAGTCGTCTTCCTATTGTCATGTTTCGTGGGACACCCTGTATATTCTAGGTTTCAATTGATCTCTGTTTCTCTCTTATTTCTGGTTTTAACTCTTCCTTCATTGAAACAAGCACTAAGAATTTTGAATTTTATATTTATTTTGTTCGTCTTTTTTTAAGTGGACAAAAAAAACATATTTTTATGTTTACATCCTTAATCTACGCCTTAAATATATGTTTACTATGTTATCTAGTTTCTGGTAGGTATGTACGTTTGTGTATTGTGACGCACACTTTAAGTAAACAAAACAATAACAAAATATAAAAATAAATCCTACATTTACCAATTTATTTAATGGAATCGGAACAAAGGGTGCAACAGAAAAAAAATATCAAATTATCCACGATCAGAATTTACAACAAAATTATAAATCTCTTTTATAAGCTTTAATACCTTTTGACATATATAAGCCTAAATGTCACAAAATCTTCACTATAAATTCAAAAGTTTTAGGAATATTAAAGTATCAACAACTTAATGTTGTTAAATGCTTAAACTTTATTGCAGTATTAGTTTGCTTTTTTTTGCCCTTTTTAACGTAACCTATTCGCTATTTATTGATTTTAATCTTTGTAAAATCTATTTAAGGCGATTTACAGCCTTTTGAAAGAGATAGCTATTTATCGTATATAGAATTCCAGTGGAAAGGTATGATATACTTTTGCATTTACACTATTTAAACTTTTTTTTCAGAAACAACAGCCCAAACAAACTAAAATTATCATATTTCAATGACTCATGTAGGGTGAGCCATTATTAAAATATGAAAACTTTTGATCTTAGAATTAGCAAGAAATTAACATTTTTTGTGTTCAAACATGTTTTAACAAATTATCGCACGTTTATACAAAAACGACTTTCTCTCTCAGACAAACCGGTTTCAACTCTTAAATTCCTGGGGAAGTAGGGGAAACCCAGGAAACAGTTTTACCGACTTTATGTTTCGATGGCAAAGTTGTGTGGTAATTAATTCTGGACTTTATATGTTCGCTATCGGTTTGTCGGAGACCATAATGTTTGCAGAGAACGTATCAAACCGTCAAATGTTTAAAATAAGTAATAATTTGAAAATGGA